ATCCAATTGTCCGACTGAGATCAACTTTGTCTTCAGTCTTGGAATCACCCTGACATTTTGTAAGCTCCAAGTAGTTCCAAATGAAGTTTTTAGATCAATATCTCCCATGCCTGTCACTTTAAGGATTTTCCCGTTACCCAACTTTACCTTTCCAAAGTCTCCCTTTTTGAGATTCACCATCGCCTCACCGCTGTGCATGCCGTGAAACGAAGCACCAGAATCCATGACCCAAGAGTCAACATAGCTTTCCATGCTGAGTATCAATGCATCACTATCATCATCAGATGCATTCCCAACAACTGCGCTAATTTCGTTTTTCTTGTTTGGGCATTGTCTCTTGACATGCCCAACTTCTTTGCAGACCCAGCACACCACATTCTTTCCAGCCTTAGACGAGCTCTTCCCACGACTCCCACTGTTTCTGTTATTACCTCTTCCCCTGCTAACACTGAGTAACCCAGAAGTAGATCCTCCACTAGCGTTCCTCCGACGAATGTCTTCACCCAAAACACTATCCCGTATTCGATCAAACTTCAAGTTTCCTGTTCCAGCAGTTTCAGTAACCGTTGTCACAAATCCCGACCAACTATCAGGCAAGGAAGATAACAGAATCACAGCCTGAGTGTCATCATCGAACTTCATGCCTACTGATGACAACCTTGACAAGATCGAATTGACCTCATTAATGTGATCAGCAACTGGGCTGCCCTCGTTCATTCTCATCATGAACAATTTCCTCATCAAGAACACTCTATTACCGGCCGACGGTTTCTCATACATATTTGACAGAGCTGTTAACATACCACGAGCAACTGTTTCCTTCATGATATTAAACGCCACACTCCTCGTCAAAGCTAGTGTAATTTTACCTCTTGCCTTTTTGTCCTTTGAGTCCCAAATTGCTTCAGCAGCCTTATCCATTCCATCCGGTTTCTCTTCCAGTACCATGTCCAAATCGCACTCACCAAGCAACGCCTCTATTTGCATTTTCCACCATGCAAAATCAGTACCG